GAAGAAATTTATATGACTCAACCTGAGGGATGTGTTGTGTCTGGACAAGAAAATAAAGTTTGTAAATTAGTAAAATCTCTTTATGGCCTAAAACAAGTTCCTAAACAGTGGCATGAGAAGTTTGATCAAGTTTTGATACGAGACGATTTTTTGTCCGTAGAAGTGGATAAATGTGTATATACTAAAGTTGTAAATGATAAATATGTGATAGTTAGTTTGTATGTGGATGACATGCTTATATTTGGTACTAGTTTAAATATTGTTAATAGTACTAAATATTTTTTGTCTTCTATTTTTGATATGAAAGATTTGGGTGAAGTTAAAATGATATTGGGTGTTAAAATCATAAGGAGAGATGATGGTTTAATGTTGTCTCAAGAACATTATACAAAGAGACTTCTTAGGAAGTTTGAAAATTATGATGTAACTCCTGTGAGCACTCCTTATGATACTTACACTCAATTAAAGAAAAATAACGGTGACCCAATTGCTCAGTCTAAATATGCTCAGATTATTGGGAGTCTGATGCACCTAATGAATTTCACTAGACCTGATATAGTTTATGCTATATGTAGACTGAGTAGATATACTCATAATCCCAATTGTGACCATTGGTTTGCATTAGTCAGACTAATGAAATATTTGAGAGGTACCATGAATTTTGGTATCCTGTATAGTGGATTTCCCACTGTATTAAAGGGTTACAGTGATACTAATTAGATCTCTGATTCAAATGATACGAAATCCACTAGTGGTTATGTGTTCACCCTTGGTGGTGGTGCAATAGCATGAAAATCTGCTAAACAAACAATCATTGCTAGATCAACAATGGAGTCAGAGTTTGTAGCTCTGGAACTGACTGGGACTGAGGCCGAGTGGTTGAGAAATTTCTTAGCTAATATTCCTTCAACTAAGGATTTGTTGCCTCCTGTGTCCATATATTGTGACTATCAAGCAGCGATTGCCATAGCTAAAAATAAATCTTCTAATTGTAAAAGTCAACATATGAAATTAATACATGATGTCGTAAAGCAGCTGCTTAAAGATGGAATAATTTTCATTGATTTTGTGAAATCAGAATTGAATTTGGCCGATCCTCTGACTAAACCTGTAGGAAGAAAATTAATTCTTCAAAGTACAAGAGAAATGAGACTTAGGCCAACAGTAGTCAATAAAGATGGTAACCCAACCTATGTGATTGGTAATCCCATGAAATAGGTTAATATGGGTAATAACAAGTCAATATTGACTGTAAAGCACTATTAAGTTTAAATTCCTTTTGAAACGAGTGCTTTAACTGCTAATAGTTATGAGGTTGAGTTAAAACTCTTAATGAATTCATATCCCTTTAGAGAGGTGTATTTAGAGCAGTATACACTTGATGAATTCACCGATATGAGAGTGGAGTGGGGCCGCACCTATAAGATTATTTGGCCAAATCTTTAGAGCTCTCGTGAATACCCAAGCAGGCGCATGGCCTAAAAAGCGGGACATCGCATTGAATAGCAAATTATGGGTTACAATGTGATTGATAGAATTTCTGTCATACAATAAGAGTTATTGGTTCATAGAAATTCATATTTCACCAATAATTCTGTAAGACATGTTTTATCAATCTAAATTTGGTTCATAGTCCAAAAGACACCAAATTAATTACATTGAATCCAAACAAGTCCGGCATATTTTCTTTTCATTATTTTATATAAAATCTTTTGAAATAGGTGGGAGATTGTTGTATATTTCAATAGATTTGTTACTACACGTGTTTTTTTAAAACTCATTGACAGGTTGTCGGCCTGTGCAATAATAAAAATCTGCTCAACTAAAGTTAATTTTTGTAGATAGTGGTAAGCAGGGTCGAATCCACAGGGACTGAGAGTAATTGTTTCTTTTCAAATTCACAGTGACAAGGGGGGTGTTTTTATATCAGGGGTAACAATTAAAGAAATTCAAATAAAACCTAAGAAACTACTACAAATTAAATAACAAATTACTAAAATCAAATGAGTAATAATTAAGGATCTAGTCAAGGAATAATTTCAGCAATGGTTCATCTAATTGATCATCGATACAAAGTCAATTCCAATTATTTACCAATAAATAGGTTATAGCTGCCAAACAAGCGATGACAGTCAACCCCTCATTACTGTGCTGGTGATTAAGATACGCCCGTTAATCACTACTCTAATTGAGAAATAATCCTAGGTACGCCCATAAAATTTAATTCTCCAATTGCCTTACGTATTAGAGGAGTCCTATTCTAATCAAATAACGCACTACCTGGGTTATTTCAGATTAGCCCGCATATCCCCCTGACACAAATCTAATCATGCCAGTTGTCACTATTTCAAGGCAATTAAACAATTACGGATTTAATACCCTAATTGACAACAAATTATCAAATTAACTAATTATCCGGATTCACGACAATCAATTAATTAAATAATTATAAGTACTGCAACCAAGAAATATGCGAATACCAATAAATAAAGAAAAAGATAAAATTAAATCGATATCACAATTTTAAATGACCCAAAGCATCTGCTGTCCCTTAACTAGACAAAGGAAATTAGTTCATTCTTGGTGCACAGAGCCCACGCAAAATTGAAGAGGAAGCTGCGGCCATCGTGTCCAAGATTTGGGAAAACTCAATTCATTCTATTCAAGAAGAAAAACAAGCTACAGAGGCAATTGATTGTTTCAATTCGTCTGACATGCGAAGAAGGAAAAACTACTCAAGGACCAAGCGAAAAAGTTAAAAGAAAAGCTACAGGGAATCATTCAATTGCTTCCAGTGCCCCTGGCATTTGTGCCAAGCAAAGAGCTACTAAAGAATCAAAAAGAAAAGTCAAGCTAATCTACTAAGCAGCCCTGACATTCGTGAGGAAGAAAAAAACAAAGGAACACTAAACTAAAAGAGATAAAAATCCCCTGCTACTCTCCCCAATTCCTCTCTAATGGCCCTCCTTTGTGCGGCGGCTCACTAGGGAGAAGAAGCCATTCGTCCGTCATTCCTTTGTAGAAATTACCAAAACGAGCGTGACATTTTCTTTTTCAAAAATGCCCCTAGGACAAGCTCTATCATCTGGACTCCTTTTCTGTCAAATTGGTACTTGTTATTATATTTTCGTTCTACTCCCTGAAATAAATGTAAATTACGAAAAATGAGTAGGATCTAATAATTAATCCACATCAAATCAGGTAATGGGAGAAATTAATAATAAATTAAATAGTAAAATTGTAACCTATCAATTCTCCCCACACCTAAACCATGTTTGTCCTCAAGTATAAGAATAGCAAACAAACACCAAAATTTAACAATGGCTATCGCTCCATCTACCAAATTGTCAAGATGCCAGAAAAAACATATATCAAGTATCAGTGATCAAGATCCAAGAAACATCACTCCGGTTAGGTTCTAAACCACAAACTCCTCCAATTTCAGGTTAACTAATCTAAGAAAAAGGAATGACGCACAACATTTATCAGCAAATGGTCCAACTATTAACCAAAATCTCAACATTAAATTCATAAATCGGCAAGTTGACTATTATTATACACTAATACAACCTTCACTTTTTTATCACATGTTTCTACTTTTTTTTTTTATTTTTTTGATTTTTTTTTTTGCTTTTCTCAATAGTAACAAAAGACTTAGTCGCTAGCCATTGGAGCCTTTTGACGTGAACTCTGACATTTGTTAGATGAAAGAGCCCGGTTACTCAGCTTCTATTGCCACGTGATCACGTACTCATAGTAATTACTACATTTTGACGCGAGAATCGACACTTTTGGTGAAAATCGCCGGTTACTCGATAGTAAAGACTAGCGGAGTACAGTCAACTCTTATTCACAGCCAAATGACACAAAAATTCAAAATAACACAAAAATCAAAAGAGAATTTATATCAACTAACCTCATTTTCAAACATGAAAAATTGAGGTTAATAACGGGACCAATTCACATGAAAATACCAATAATCATTCCCTATACCTAGGAAAGTTAATCAAAAATTATAAGAGTAAAACAATCACCGATATTCACCAAAGAGATGCTTTTGGACTCAATCACATTAACTTGATACACTTTTATTATTAAAACTTGGCAAGAGTAGATTTAAAGTCAATAACCCATCATCAAAATTTGGCATTCATATGAGAGCTAATCAGTAAAAAGAAAGAAAGAAAGACTCAAATAATAAACTAGAAATAAAGGAAAAACACCTAAAAACTAAAAACTACTAAAAACGATAATCACAATATCCAATCCCCCCCACACCTAAACGATACATTACCCTCAATGAAGCAAGTAAATATAAAAAGTAGAAGAGAGGGCAACAAAACTCCCCTGGAATCTGGTCAAATTGGAGAGTGGGGTGATGCTGGGGGCGGCGGTGGTGCGGCTTCGGGTGACATAGAGGAAAAACAGAGTAGAAGAAAGAAAGAAAAGAGAAAGAAAGAAGAAGAAAGAAAAGAAAGAAAAAGAAAACAAAATAGTTTTTTTTCTTTTTTTTGAATATTATTATTACTACAAAACTTATTTTCGAAAATAAAAATTAGAGAATAACAGAAAATCAATAACCCCTTTTTTTTTTAATCCCTACCTTTCCCGCGAACGTGACGTGGGCACGTCTAGAAGACACGGAATGAGAAGCTTTCCAGGTCACTTGACGCAGGCACGTCAAGAGGATAAGAACCCCTTCTGACGATTCTGACCGTGAGCTCTCCATACGTCATGACGCGAGCACGTCATGAGGGCAAGAACCCCTTCTGACGATTCTGACCGTGAGCTCTCCATACGTCATGACGCGGGCACGTCATGACAGAAGGATACCTACAAATCATCAAAAATGAAAATTAAAACCCGAAATCAGCCAAATTCAAGGAAAACATATTTAAACTATCACACGAAATCAAACAAACAATTAAAAGAAACAATTGTGTTGCCTCCTAATAAGCGCCTTTCTTTAATATTTTTGGCTAGACATTAAACACCACTCTTCAATCTGGGTGTAACTCAATTTTTCTTGTAATCAGTGGCCCTCCTCCAGGATCCAAATAGCCTTTGAGTGCAGCCTTCTTTCTTAATTTTCTACTCCTTTTCATCTCATATAGTGCTTTCATCCCCTTATACTTGTTCTCAGTAAATTTGAATTTATCCCTACAAGCAAACTCAGAAAATTCTTGCACAGAGGGATTAATAGCATGAATAGCAAATACAGGGTGAGAGTTAACAGAATGTTCCATTGTATCGAAAATATTAAAGTGGACTAGTTCTCCATCAAATTTCATGGATAATGTACCCTTATTAACGTCAATTTTTGTCTGTGCTGTGCTAAAAAAGGGTCTACCTAGTAGCAAAGGTGAGGGGTCAGGGGAATGATCATCATCCATGTCAAGTACATAAAAGTCTGTCGAAAATATCAATTCATTAACTTTAACCAGCACATCCTTGACCAACCCATCAGGGTATGCATTTGTTCGGTCAACTAATTGAATTATTATCTCGATTTCTTTTAATGGATCGAGGTTCAGAGAAGCATACATAGATTTAGGCATTACGTTGATCGATACTCTTAAATCCAACAAGGTATTCCTAATTAAAGTGTTACCTATCCTACATGGGACAATAAACCTACTTAGATCCCCACACTTTGGTGGTAGTTTTTTTTGGAGAACTGCTGACACATTCTCCCCAACAATGACTTTTTCATCTCTCCTTAGTCTCCTTCGATTGACACATATGTCCCTCAGAAATTTTGCATACTTCGGCACTTGCTTGATGGCGTCTAGCAGGGGGATATTGATCTCTATCTTGCGAAGTACCTCCAGGATCTCTTTCTCCTTGTCCTGCTTTTTCGATTTCTCCAACCTGCAAGGAAATGGAGGGGGATTAGTTTTAACGTCTATGATCGGGTCAGGAAGTACCACTGGATTTTTGGTGCTTGTATTCTCTGCCTGAAGTTCTTTCTCATTCTTCTCTTCGTCCTTATCCTTTGAAGTCAAAAGTTTGGGCCCCTGAATTTCCTTCCCGCTCCTTAAAGTCATTGCACTTACGTTCTTCAGGTTCAGTTCAGGTTGGGATGGCAATCTTCCATTTACTTGAGACTCCAGACGGTTGATTGATATTGCCATCTGACTTATTTGATTCTGCATCGCTTGTATCTGACCCATCTGACTTCTTATGTTCCGTAGTTCGGAGTCCGTCTTTTGCTGGTGTTGTGCAGTACTAGCCATCAATTGTTTCATCATATCTTCCAAAGATGGACTGGGGCTCGGTAGAGGTGGTGGTGGTCGAAATTGATACTGCTGCTGGTACTTTTGTTGTCTACTTGGCATAAAATTGGACTACTTATTTTCTCCATAACTGAAGTTGGGATGGTCTCTCCAACCAAGATTGTAGGTGTTCGAATATGGGTCATATTGATTTCTTGGCGCGGGCGCATGACCAGCCATGTTCACTTGCTCCACACTTTTTTCTTGAATCATTGGGCACATCTCTATAGAGTGATCCATACCAGTGCAAATTCCGCACACCTTGGACTGAGATGCGTTTCCTACAGCCAGTTGCCTAACAAAAGAAGTCAACTCGATCAACTGCTACTGAATAGAAGATGTCTTTACCTCATTTACCTTGCGTATTGGAACATTATCTCTCGTACCAAATTGTTGTGAATTCTCTGTCATTCCCTCAATTAACTCCCACGCTGCTCAAGGGATCTTGTTCACCAGTGCCCCTCCACTCGCAGCATCAATGATACTCCTTTCTCTGAAGAGTAGCCCCTCATAAAAATACTGTATGAGCAACTACTCACTTATTTGGTGCTGGGGGCATTTGATGCACAATTTCTTGAATCGCTCCCAGTACTCATAGAGCGACTCCCCTGGATGCTGTTTGATCCCGCAAATTTCTTTCCTTAGACTTGCAGTCCTGGACGCAGGAAAATATTTATCTAAAAATTTTTTCTTTAATTGGTCCCATGTGGTGATGCTACCTGGTGGCAAGTAGTACAGCCAGTCCTTTGCAGAATCTTTCAAGAAAAAGGGGAATGCCCTAATTTTTATTTGCTCTTCTGTAATGCCCGGGACTTCATACTGTTGCACACGACATCAAACTCTTGCAAATGCTTATAAGGCTCCTCACCTGGTAAACCATAAAAAGATGGTAGAAGATGAATTAGACCAGATTTTAATTCAAATGGAGTGTTATCATTTAAAGTGGGGAAAGTAATGCATAAAGGCTGCTGATTTAAATCAGAAGCAGCCAACTCCCTTAATGTCCGTGCATTAGCTATAGCAATTTCCTCTTGATCAGAGTCACTTGAAGTGTCACCAAACGAATCCGTTGGTTCAACTCCTGGCTCAGGTTTCTGAGATGCAATACTGGATTGCTCCTCTCTGAACTGTCTGGTTTCCTTTCTTGTTCTACGCGTGATCTTCTCTACTTCAGGATCAAAAATCAAATCACCTGTACGAGAATATCGAGGCATACACTAGAAAAATACCAGAAAATTAGAGCAAAAAATGAATTTAAAAAGAAGCAAATAATAACGCCAGTCCCCGGCAACGGTGCCAAAAATTGACAGGTTGTCGGCCTATGCAATAATAAAAACCTGCTTAACTAAAGTTAATTTCTGTAGATAGTGGTAAGCAGGGTCGAATCCACAGGGATTGGGAGTAATTGTTTCTTTTCAAATTCACAGTGACAAGGGGAGTGTTTTTATATCAGGGGTAACAATTAAAGAAATTCAAATAAAACCTAATAAACTACTACAAATTAAATAACAAATTACTAAATCAAATGAGTAATAATTAAGGATCTAGTCAAGGAATAATTTCAGCAATGGTTCACCTAATTGATCATCGATGCAAAGTCAATTCCAATTATTTACCAATAAATAGGTTATAACTGCCAAACAAGCGTAACAGTCAACCCCTCCTTACTGTGCCGGTAATTAAGGTACGCCTGTTAATCACTACTCTAATTGAGAAATAATCCTAAGTACGCCCATAAGATTTAATTCTCCAATTGCCTTACGTATTAGAGAAACCCTATTCTAATCAAATAACGCACTACCAGGGTTATTTCAGATTAGCCCGCATATCCCCCTGACACAAATCTAATCATGCCAGTTGTCACTATTTCAAGGCAATTAAACAATTACGGATTTAATACCCTAATTGACAATAGATTATCAAATTAACTAATTATTCGGATTTACGACAATCAATTAATTAAATAATTATAAGTACTGTAATAAAGGAATATGTGAATACCAATAAATAAAGAAAAGGACAAAATTAAATCGACCTCACAATTTTAGATGACCCAAAGCATCCGTTGTCCCTTGACTAGACAAAGGAAATTAGTTCATTCTTGGTGCATAGAGCCCACGCAAAATTGAAGAGGAAGCTGCGGCCATCGTGTCCAAGATTTGAGAAAACTCAATTCGTTCCATTCATGAAGAAAAACAAGCTACAGAGGCAATTGATTGTTTCAATTCGTCTGACATGCAAAGAAGGAAAAACTACTCAAGAACCAAGCGGAAAAGTTAAAAGAAAAGCTACAAGGAATCATTCAATTGCTTCCAGTGGCCCTGGCATTTATGCCGAGCAAAGAGCTACTAAAGAATCAAAAAGAAAAGTCAAGCTAATCTACTAAGCAGCCCTGACATTCGTGAGCAAGAAAAAAACAAAGGAACACTAAACTAAAAGAGATAAAAATCCCCTGCTACTCTCCCCAATTCCTCTCTAATGGCCCTCCTTTGTGCGGCGGCTCACCAGGGAGAAGAAGCCCTTCGTCCGTCATTCCTTTGCAGAAATTATCAAAATGGGCGTGACATCTTCTTTTTCAAAAATGCCCCTGGGACAAGCTCTATTTTCTGGATTTCTTTTCTGTCAAATTGGCACCTGTTATTATATTTTCGTTCTACTCCCTGAAATAAATGCAAATTACGAAAAATAAGTAGAATCTAATAATTAATCCATATCAGATCAGGTAACGGGGGAAATTAATAATAAATTAAATAGTAAAATTGCAACCTATCACTCATGGTCATGCTTTGACAATTTCAAACTCTATCAGGTTGTTTCTATTGGATAAGAAAAAGTTGTTGGCATGCACATGGGTTTAAATAGAAACGTGGAGCATTATGTTATCCCACAGCTTTCGATCAAACAAAGTTAAAGTTTGGAATTGGTTTGTTTGACTCTTTCCGGAGGCTCTGATGTTTAAAGCTTGTAACGTTCCTTGAAGTTTGTTTGACTATTTCCAAAGGATTTGAAATAGCTCGTGTCCCAATTTTTCTAAACAAACAAAGAGATAATATCTATCATTTACTAACGTTTAAAATCATTACAAAGGCTATAAATAGAGGCCTTGGGCAAATTCATTCGAAATGCACGACACACATTCTAATTCTCACTTCTACTCTCTGCTCTCTCTTCTCTCTCTCTCTCTCTCTTATTGCTGGACTAAAAATTAGCTGGTTCAAATTCTCTCTTGAAAAGTGAAGAGGAAGGCTTGTTTAATCCTGGGGAAATATTTCAATACCCCTGAAATAGTTTCTTAGGACAGTGTTCGAACACGACTCAAGCTTGTTCAATTTATTTGTATTTTCGTGTTAACACTGTTAGCCACTTTTGCTACACTTTTGTCTCTTGGCACGCCGGCAGCTGCCTTCATCTACTCCAATGGCAGAAAACAATCTGCCCGAAATCTGCAAATCCTTTCACCAGCGAGCTTCTGAGGCTGAGGTTTCTGATCTCTTTTTAGCTCGTTAACTCCCACATTATGGGTCTAAATCTTGGTGCTTTTCTCTTTTTTTTTTTAATTACTTGTCATTGATATGTTATGCTTTAATTTTTCTTGTATCAATTCTCATGCTTTAATCCAATTATTGAAGGGCTTTACCAGGAGTTCTTAGACTAGTTTGATGAATTTATTTTGACGTTTCTTTTACTGATGCATCAATCATGTTTACGAATTATAAATACATGAATCAGATATTAAATTAGTTCAGGAATCTAAATTGGGAGCTTCGGATTCTTCTGTTTGATGTTTTTGTTTGGTTCCTTGTGAGAATTGGAGTTGCACTAGAATTGGACTTGTCTATAGAAATTTTACTTAAATCCTATGGTATACAATTCAACTCTCTTTGAGGAATCAAACACACCCTTGTGTAGTGGATGCTTTTGTGTTTGGCATGTAAATGAAGTTACAGAATTGTAGAATACTATTTTCTTGTATTCGAATACTACTTTTTACGCTTTGCTTTATTAATAATTGTAGCGTGCACTAAGCTTTTAGGGGTAATATGTTAATCAAATGACAGTTTGGGAGATCTTTCCTCGTTTTTGTTGACGATAGGGGTTTTACTTATTGAAATTTCCATCTTTGTCATGTAGGCTCGATTGGAAAGACTTGAAGCTGCTACTGCTAGTGACAGAAGTAGGTTTAACCATCAATGCATTTCAACGGATTTCATTTTGAATTTTCTGACATCTACTAATTAACTCATCCTTAACCTTTTCTTCATGTGGATATGCTTCTTCAGATGCTGGGAATGAGGAATTGAATAAGGTTCGTGAGCTTAGTCAAAGCTAGAAAATGTGAAAGCAGAACAAGCTTTAGAAAGAGAAAAGGTGTGCTTTGTGCAGTTTTTCTAATTTTTGCATGTTAAATAAAGCTAAAAGAGTAACCCGGTCTTGTTTTATATCCCTTTTAGTCTCAGAAAGAGCTAAAGCAGCTAAATGCAGAAAATGCCAAGTTCCAATATCGTATAACACATCTTGTTTGAGCACTAAAGGATGCTGATTGTATGTTACAATCTAAGTGAGGTAACACTATATTCCTACACTGCTTATTATTTCTTGAGAAATTTACTCATTCATGTTATACGGTAAGGTTTTGAGATTCAGCTTGACGTTGGAATTTGAAGCAAAGTCCTGAAGAATTTCATTGCCCTAAAAACAAGTGTTAGCTTTCTTTTAATTGTTTTTTTTCTTCCATTTGGCAAGTGTTTTTAATATTTTTCCTCACTACTTCCCTGATTTGAAATACTTCTGAACAATTCGTGCGGAGCTCAGACAAAGTTACGCTTGACATGAATCTTACACGTTTTATCTGAATGGCCTTTTCATCTTACATATAGAACAGTACACATCATCTCTAGGGAGTTTTACAACCTCCTTTTTTATTTTATTTAATTTTCTGTTCTGAATCGATAATTTTTCTAGTACTCTTGCATTATTTTGTACATGCTACTTTTCAGGGACTTTTGGGACTTAGCTCCATTTATCTCTATCAAGTTGGAATATACAAGATGGTAAAGTATAGCCTTCTATCTCCATGACAACTTAGTTTGCACGTTCAAGATTATCTTTTTGTGAAGTATTTGGATAGTCATTTAATACTAATTTATGTTCGTTGACTGCTGTTCATAGATGCCATAAAAGGTTTTATATTCATCATTCTGGCACAGCTTAAGACGTGCAGAACAAGCAATAGTTTTGATGGCTTTCTCTAGGCTTATTTTGTAATCAAGCAGATACAGGCATTCTTACCTTTCACCAGGTAAACTCTGTAGTCTCCTATTTGGATTTTCTTGCAGTTAGCTTATTCATAAGTGGATTGATCAGCAATTTTAATTGATAGGTCTTTGAACTCTTCAGTCTTGCCATGTCGTAGATTGGTTAGTTCAATGAGAATTGGCAAGCAAAAGGAGGCTAAGGTTGTCTATAGGAAGTTCAGAGCCTTCAGTTGTCATATTTGGCATATCAACTTGGGGAAGTCCAATTGCAGTTTGGCACTTGGTGCAATTGTTCTGCTGGTTAAAAGTAGATCCGATTTCTAATATGGATAAGGTTAAGTTAGCATTTGTCCTGCAGAGTAGGTAGAGTAGTTTTATAGTGCATGTGCCAAGCACCATCTTCAACGTTTAAGAACTTTTATGACCTCAGATGCTTTAGATATTTTACCAATAATACGTGCTCCGGAAATGGTTGAGGAGAACATTTTGAAGGTTACTCTAAGGAGAATATAGACACTAATTTACTATTGTCTTAAAAGTTTGAGAGCTTTGATGAGTTTGGATGACTTTGTCATTTCATGAATTGTACTTGCTCCTGAAATGGTTGAGGAGAACATTCTTCAAGTTTACTTGAGCGAGATGTTGAATCCACTTTAGAACTCGGCTACAGAGAATTAAAGTGAATACTAGGAGGTTGAATCTCTGACTCATGATTTCACCTCCAATCTTTGTCACTTTATCACAAGACCTAGGGGGATGTAGAAGAATATGCTTTAGTAAGAAAAATGGGAAGATGACTTGTTAACATAATAAAAGACGTTGATAGCGATTTTGTGGAGGGTGCCGCATTAGAGCAAACAAGAATAAGAAACGGGTAAGTTTTGCTGTTAGCACTTAGCTGCAATTCCTTTTGACATAAGCACTGTATTTAAACGAAGAAACGAAATATGGTAGTCAGGGTTACACATCAAATGAAAAACTCAAAAATCTAAATGCGGGGCCATATTTGGAGAATGATCATTGTGATAAAGCATGTTACAGTCACCATCACCCATTGGATGAAGTTGAATAGGTTTTCCATTGATATGTTAGTTCACCAGTATTTCTTTCATCATACTGTATTGTGTCAAAAAATTTAGAAAGTGGAGATTAAACTTTAGGGATTCTTTTTTTGGGAACCTACATAAAAAAGGAAGTGCATCTTTAGAAGAAATAAATGAGAGATTGATCTTCTTCTTAGACCTCTATTACTCTCAATTGACAATCCACATGTTAGATTCTTCAGGCATCTGACCTTTTGTCTTCTCAGTCACCTTAAAACTACAAAAGGACGAACATGGATAAGAAAAAGCGAGATGGTTAAATATGCTGTTAGCTTACTGAAGAAAGAATTTTTTTACTCAGAATTATACAAATGGTTCTATAGTCACCAAGTGAGAGCTGACAATTATTAGTATACATATGTAACATGATCATTTTGTCTTGATGTTAATACGTGGCTAGGGCATTCTTATGTAAAGGTGGACGCTGCCTACACCATTTATTTACTAGATTAGCAGTATCCTTTTTATCATTTATATGGAGAATAGAACTGCATGCCTGGGAACTGCACTTAACCAGCTGTAAACATCCATATGGGGTGAAAAGCTGAACTTTTTGCTTCTGGGTGGTCGTACTGTGGTGATGGGGGAGAATGATGTGTAGCTCATGCTGATGAGTAGTTGTGGAGTCTAGTTTCTCAAGTTTTATCTGGATATTAACCTATTTACTTGGAATGGAGGGAACTTGGTTGGTCTCATGCAGCCCCACTCTTGTTTTGTCCCTTCTACTTACATGATTAATTACTTATTCTTTTAAATAACTTCACTTTCAAGTCAAGCTATTTCTTTTTCTTTATTACTAGTATACCCACTTTCTTGAGATGGAATATATACAATTGCCAAAATGGCATAAAAAGTTAATTTGGGGGAGTTGTGTACTTTGAAAAGTCTTATATTGCAAATCAAATATCTTAGATTTCTTGAAATGGAATATATTACATTTTCAGGGTACTTTTGGATTTCTACACTTCCAGTTTGGTTATTTTAGTGATTTAGTTAGTGTGTTAAAAGTCTTTACCCCTGCAAATGAGAAGTTTATTGAAAAAACTCAAATAAGCTTGATCAGAAAGATCCTTGCAAGCCTTCATCACAAATATACATGAATCATGATAACTTGGAGTTCTTCAGTCTACTTTCTGATTGCATGTGTCTGAATGACTCTTGGATGTTTGACTCTTTCGATTTTAACCAATGGCTAAAATCAAATCCAAATTAGTTCTAAATGATAGATCAGAGAAAATTAAGGACAAGGAACGGAGGTAAGAAATTAGTTTATCTTTCGGGAATGGATATAGTAAATGTAGACCTTTCCAAAGCAAGTCTGGTTCCAGGTCAGTGACAGATGTACTCACTGTTTGTTTGGAGCCATTATCATGGAGGAAGATGACTGAAATGAGTGGTCTACTTTCTCTTTTGTCTCATTAGACAATTCTTGAAGTTGTCGTGTGCAATTTTCTTTCTAATTGTAGCATTCATTATAATATCACTTGGAATTTGTGCCTTGGGTAATTTAGTGCATTCTTACATGGATCTCTTTGGTTTAGTTATTCTGATATTGGGCATATAGACAAACTTCTATGCTTTGTGGCACATTATTAATGTTGAGACAATGTGGTCATAATGCCCTGTTTCATTAATAAGTAGATCTTATTATGAGTACTTATTTTTCTCGTTCACTTTATCAACTCCCGCTGGCCAGTCATCAGCACACAGCAGTTCGAGCAAAAGCAAAACCACTTTGTTTTAACAAAAAACAAAATCCCAAGGTTAGCATAGAAGTGATTTCGACCAACCCCCGGCTGGTTCAAATAATCCGTTTACCCTTGGAATCGGGTTGGAACCTAACCCTGAGATATCCAATCTCTTAACAAAGTACTCAACAAAATACTCAAGTCGTGTAATCACCCCAACAGCACACAGCACAAGGGGTTCAACTCGCCACAAGGCATGTATCCTCACATATTAAATCAAGAACAGAGAATGGGATTAGGTCGAGTGAGATAAAGTACACCCTCGTCTAAGTATCCATTTAACATAAACAAAACACTTTGACAATTTATTACATAAACAAACCCAATTACTCACCCAAAATAGTTAGCATGCAAATCAAGACAATTTATACGGGTCCACCGACTCCGTCCGGGTCGTCACTGCCTGTGATAGAAGATATACTTAACTATCAATCAAACAACCATCACAATGGAAATAAGGACTAAAACAGCCAAAACGGCAAAAATGGCAAAGAAACGTATGCGCGTGCGCAAAAATGAAAACCGTATGAAAACGGATTGCACGGTTTCGACCATAACTGGGTTGTGGTTATCGGATCAAGGTATACTAGGTAGCGTTTCGAAGCTAAAACAAAGGGTTACAACTTTCATGAAGACAATTCAATCCAGTTTATAGTTGATCCAGATCGAATTTGCATATTACAGAACCAGAATTTCATTGTCAGTCTGTTGATCAGAATTGGATTCAAATGGCAATAACTCAGGCTACAAAATTTCGATTAAAGCATTTTCAGATGCGTTGGAAAGCTGAAACACAGGGCTAAAATTTTCGTATTTTGGCCAACCGCTGATTTGATACAGATCAAAGTGAAAAACGAAGTCAAAGTTACAGGTTTGACAAACCCTTTTTTTTTTTCTGGTTTCGATACACCAAATCAAGAAAACACATCATAAACCAACATCTAAGTTATCATTAAAGCAATACCCAGTTAACCACTCAATAATCAACTCAAATCCCTAACTCAAGGCTGGAATTTTCTGAATAAGAGCTATACTTTCTTCTACAAGCGGAAATTCACCAAATTTACAACAATTTCACAACACAAGCTACAACTACATCATAAACACAAGAGTATATATAAATTTATCAACCAAAATTCAACACCTAAGTAAAACTTATAGATATACCAAGCATCTTAAGCAAGTTTATCACCAAATCAACCAAAGTTGAAGGAATCAAGTTGCCCCAAAAATTGGACAGCATTTCCCTTTAAATTCCTCTACTTTCCACCCTACAATCCATCATCAATCTCTATTCAAATCAACCACAATTGCACACACAACACATAAGTGATAAAACACACCTAATTAGGGCCACAATACCCTTCAATTTGAGCCAATTGATAGCTCCAAAACCAACCACAATAAAGTCCCAAATTGAAACCCTAAAGCTGAAATTTAACCACACAAGCTGGAATTTTCTGTAAGCAACCAAAACTAGCATATAAAAGCTTCATTTTACACATAACAAAGCTATCATTCCATGACAATTGCTCAAGCATCAAATTAGACCAGAAAATTCACCAAAAATCTGAAATTTTCCAAGTCACCACTTTCTCCATGAAATTTTCCCATAAAACTACAAAACTCACAACTCTAAACCACTAATTGACAATTAATTAAAGTAGAGAGAAAATTCTAGCCAAGGTTACCTTGTTCCTCCAAGAAAGATAGAAGCTTGGTGCTTTCCCTTCCAAAATCACTCCACCAACACCTTGGAATCTCCTTAGTGAACAACTTTTATGGAGTAGTTTGCAATTTGGTTGATTGAAACACAAGATTGAAGCAAGAAATTGAAGATACAAGATGAAGTCTTCTCTCTTTTCTTCTCTCAAAGTTTCGGCCAAGAAGGGGTGAAAAGTGAGGAAAGCTTGGTCAAAATTGGTGTTTAGTAAGG